AAAAAACGTTAATGACGTCACGGTAACATGACAAAATTATGTCTCTGAGCTGATAGACAAAAAACTTTCAGCCAATCGGAAGACGTGTATATCCAAAATTAAACTATTGAACCATAAAACATATTTAACTAAAATTAACATATAAATGATTTTGGTTTTCTATGTAAGGCAATGAAGTTAAAAGCATTCAATTCTTTCGTTGAATTATTAAAATAGAAAAACTGACCCATTACCAAATGATACATGCATGACATGCATATGGTGAAACAATTAAACAAAAATTGCGCATTGATGAAGACTGAAAATTAGGTCGTGATCAGGTGAATACTGCACAGACGGATATGTACATATGAAAGCTAAATATAGTTGACCACTGAAATAAGGTGCCTTAGAAATAAAAATTAAATCAGATTTATCTGGACTTGCTTTAACATCAAATATCATCTGTTTAAGGATGTAGTTAGGAGAAATTAAAAAAAAAAAAACTAGAATTTAAAACTGATACTATAAGTCAGAAGAGCATTAGTTAAGGAACAAAATAGGCTAAAAAAAATTGATAGGTTATGGAACTCCTTTTTGAGATATTTGATTTTTTTTTTATAAATGGCGGGAAAAGGCTGACCCGGACTTTTACCTTATATTTAGTATTGACATTATTTGCCGGGTCTCAAATCGTAAAAAAAAATCTAGAATCTGCTTAAATTTTGGAAATTACCTTTTTATGAGCTATTGCATTCTTCTATGAAAAGAAAAGTGGGTGATATGTGGCAAAATATTTTACCCTGTATCGTACAAATTAACCCAATGAGTCCGAACATCTGACAAAAATTCATAAACCTGATCTGACCACATCCTTAAAGCAAAACGAATGAAAGATTTAAATTGCATTTGATTGCTAACAAAAAAGAAAGTAGTTAATAACAAAGGATCAAATCCAACTCCGTCAGTCATAGAATGACGGACAGCACCTTGACCAGAGGAAAATGATTAAGGACAATCAACATTTCACAAAACAATACACAGAAAAATAGATATTGGACAACATGAACCCCACCACAAACCGGGTCGAGATCAGATGCTCCTGGAGGGTAAGGAGTTCCTACTCCATATGTGGAACCCATGTCGTGTTGTTCAATTAAATAAAAAAAATAATGACAAGTTATATTCAATGATGCCAATATAGGGAATAGAGGACGGTTTTATGTGAAGAACAAGTGGGACATATATATTATCATCTGTGACACAGGTATATCAAAAGAACGGTCAACCAAATCATGATGGCGACCGTAAAACTTTCGAAAAGATTACTTCAACCTTACAAATACGAGTCCCTGTTTCAATAGTTTCCTTATGAGCAAGGAAATCATGAATGAAACGTATATACGTATATGGAATATTGTATCAAATTGGAAATATCTATACTGCTTTAATGTGGCCACATAGAAATGAAGGGATCATAATGGGACAACTTATTTTTTCCCGTTAAATTCATTCTCAACCGACCCGCATTGTCACTATAATTAGATCTAGATATGCTAATACTTTAAGCAGACTAACCTTTAGCAATGACATCCTTTATTTCAAATTAAATGGGATAGATGCGATAAACACTGTAACAACTTGATATAGTTACTGTCTTTAAGACATATCTCAAGACACAAAATCTCAAAATATTTTGACAATAATATTTTATGTAAAATATCCTTTAAATCACTTATATAATATGTTAACATTTTCAGATATTAAAAATATGTTTGTTTATTTTTTAACGTATATTAGTATCATTAATCTGTAATTAACACGTTTGGCTACTTCATTTGTATGATTTTAAGTTTAAAGCAACTATATGCATAGGATTTTTTTGTTTATACACAGTTTTGATTTTGAAGAAAAACCTACAAGTCCCAAGTCAGGAGCCTGTTGTTCAGTGATTGTCGTTGGTTTATGTCTGTCATATTTGTTTTTCGTAAATTGTTTTGTTATATATTAGGCCGTTAGTTTTCTCAATTGAATTGTTTCATATTTTTCATGTCGGGGCCTTTTATAGCCGACCATACGGTATGAGTTTTTCTCATTGTTGAAGGCCATGCGGTTGCCTATAATTGCTTACATCCTCTTCATTTGAACTTTGGTGGATAGTTGTCTCATTGGCAATCATACCACATCTCCTTATTTTTATATGGTTAGAAAATACAAATAATAACACCATTACAAACACAATTCCATTTTAATATTCTTGTCAAGGTTAGATAATACACAAAATAACACCATTACAAACTCAATCCCAATTTAATATTCTTGTACGTGTCTATAAATAAAACAAATCTATTTTATTTTTAGAAATTTACCTGTGATAATATAAACGTCACAAAAAATACGTCACTTATTGTGACGTTGATCCATTCATGTGACGTGCAGTTTATATTTAGTTTGTGGTGTCCTGATGTGCTGTCGTAAATTCATTGGAGGTGTCCGTTGTTATTCTGCGGTTTGCATGTTGTAATGTATTATTATATTATTTATCTATTTACTTTTCTGTGCTGAGTGTTCTTGCATTTGTTTGTACTGTATTCCTGTCAAGTAGTGTTGTCATTTTTAGCGGTACTTTAACATTGCCATATAAGCGGGAGGTTTGGCTAGCCACAAAACCAGGTTCAACCCACCATTTTTTCTTGAAATGTCCTGTACCAAGTCAGGAATATGGCAGTTGTTATCAGACAGTCCGTTTCTATGTACTAGTATGTTGGCGTTTGCTTTTGTTGTAGTTCAGTGTTTCTGTTGTTCCGTTGTTTCCTCTTATAGTTGATGTGTTTCCCTCGGTTTTAGTTTGTTACCCGGATTTGTTTTTGCTTAATCGAATTATGACTATTGAACAGCGGTATACTACTGTTGCCTTTATTAGTCCATAAAATTAGAATTTCGTTTTACATAAATTCAGAAATAATAAAAAAAAAATCATACAGTAATTCTTAAAAAACAAATCCGAGAATTTGACTACTGACGTCACCGGTCAAGTTATTATTCAGTAGAGAATTTTTAATGTTTAAAGAATTTACAATAACTTTTTGTAAAACATTGTCAAATACATTTTTATTGTTAAAAACCACTTACATTATAAATACAAGCAGATGTAAAATAAATGCAAATGAGAGGGGAAATAATTGAAAACAACATGTTATAAATTTCATGCGTCCAAAGCGCTTTTCTGGATTAAAAGAGGGACGAAAGATACCAGAGGGACAGTCAACCTTCATCAGGAACGCTCGAAGCCGAATAGTTGAAAGCCAAGGATGTATTACAACCAAAACAGTTGAAGAGCTATATGACCAAAAAGGACATAAAAAAATAGCCAAATCCATCTAAGGTCAACTTTGCCTGAGGGAGTTGAAACTTTTGTTTCTTATAATTTCAACATTTATTAACACACAATTTTAGAAAGGTTTGTTATAAATTATGTCAGTACCGAAGTAGACGATGCCGTTGGGGACTGATAGTCAACCAGCAGAGGTATCGACCCAGTGCTTTAAAAAATAAAAACAACACGTTATAAAGTTCATGCGTCCGAAGCGCTTTTCTGGATTTACCTTCATCAGGAACGCTCAAAGCCGAATATTTGAAAGCCAAAAATGTATTAGAACTGAAACAATTAGAAAGCTTTATGGCCAAAAAAAGACATAAAAAATAGCCAAATCCATTTAAGGTCAACTTTCCCTGGGGGAGTTGAAACCTTTGTTTCTTATAATTTCAAAATTTATAAACGGACATTTTTAGAAAGGTTTGTTATAAAGCTTGTCAGTACTGAAGTACTGACTACTGATCTGATAATACTCTCGGGGATTGATAGTCCACCAGCTGAGGTATCTTCCCCGCGCTGTAAACAAAAAATGAAAACAACACGTTATAAATTGCATGCGTCCTATTCTTCAAAGACAAAAGAACAAATATGTTTACAAGTCACTGTACTGTCATCAGCAATGAGCAAAACCCATACTATAAAGTTATATGATACAAAAATGTAAGCCTGTACTTTTTTACCAGTAAACGAACATTGCCAGCTAGTTTTCAGTACACTAATTCTTCAAAAAAATTGTGTATTTGATTAAAATCAACTTGAAGTCCAAAACTTGTGTCTTGTTGTTCTAATGACACACACTGACTGTAAAAAAAAATATTAAACGTTCTTATCGATTTTAAGACTAGTTTTCAATATAACTTTCGTCATTCATTCGGAATTTTAAATAAAAATCCAGGAATCTGACCTTCGATGGTAGATGTTCCATTATTACTTGATGGATAATTTTCAAAAGTAAACACTACACCGTTTTCGTATACTACAGTTTTCCCATTTCCCCCATAATAACAATCTGAACCTTTCATCACTACAACAGCATGGTACTTTGTAGTAGCTAAAAGTTTAACGGGTTTTGGGAACGTAATTTTAACAATATTATTTTCGGCTGCTTTACTGTCTATAGTGTCCTTCATCACAACAATATCTGCTGTATCGTCTTTAACTAAAGCGGTCACGTCAAATGTCGACGATCCGTCTAGGCATACATACGATAGAAATCCGCACAGTTCTATTTCCTTTGAAACCGAAAAACTTACAGCGTCTTCCTTATCACCATAGATTCTCCAATGATAATCTAAAATTGTTTCGAAACGATAGCAGTACAATGTTCCTGGTGAATAAGGGTTTACTGTCCCTCTTCTCAAATTGCCTTGCTAATTTAGTTGTATGTTCTAAATTCTGAAGCAAAAGTTTATAATCAACATTTTCTTAGCCTTGCTTTGAATCAATTGTTTATGTTCTTCTACGTGTTTCTTTAACTTCTCAACTCCCATCATAATCTGAACGCTGGATGACATTTTAACGGCTGCATCTAAAATCTGCTTTTCATTTTCGAAATAATTTTGTCTATTTTGAAAGATTATTAAAGTAGTGTCTATTGTTTCTCTTGCCTAAGTGTAATTTTTAACAGTTCCGCCTCCCATCTGACTTAAAGATCATTTATCTTGGCAACAAAGTCACCGAAGATATCACCAAGATTCTTTTGTTCTTGTTTATACTCGTTTTTTATTTTCTCCATTGCATACAGTTGATCTTTTAAGATTGTTTTTACATCAAGTTCTACATGGCTAAGTTGGGTTCTCAAATTTTTAAGTTTGTCAGTTTTCACATATTCATTTGCAGCATCTTCAATGGAAAGAACATTTTTACATCGCCTATGATGTATTGATACACACATCGAACAACAGGGAGTCTGATGGTCGACACAAAACAATTTGAGTTCTTCTCCTTTGTGTTCAGAACATTGGTTTTTAAAAGTTTTGAAGCATCCAGCGACCGATGAATATTCATTTATTTGTCTTATTTCGTGATTATGTGAGATTTTGTTCGCTTTATGGTGTTGCTTACAGTTTAAACATAATAAATCAGAACAATCAACACAAATTAAACTTGCCTCTGATTTTGCTTCCATTCGTTCGCATACCATGCATTGTTTTTGAGGTCTCTCAACTTTTTCCTTCTCTAATAATCCAATGATGAGCAAATTCAATGGTAACACTTTGTCCCATTCATCAGGTGTATTGACTTCCTTCGGTATAGTAACTGTATTCCTACATATCGGACAATCGATACTTTCTTTGTGGTTTTTCTCAAATATAGCAGTAATATAGGTCTGTATACAACTTTCACAAAATGTATGTAAGCACGGTAAATACTTTGGAATATTAAGTTTCTCCAGACAAATTGCACACGTAGTTATGTCAACGACATGACGCTCAACAGACGTCGCCATTTCAACGCTTATCTGTACAAGGAAGTAATAAGATTCTATATATACCGATCCACTGATAGTGCTTTATAATAATGATCATACTATAACCGACTGATAGTGCTGTACACTGACATTAACCTCATGTATTCTTATACAGAAACAAAAATTAAAGCTACTTAACAGATTTAATAAAATGAAATTATCATTTATAACTTGAACTCCACCTTGAATAATAACATCATAAATTGACTGGCAAATTTGATATTTAATCTAATCAAATATTTCTGTTAACAGGTTACAAGATTGAAATAAATATTGATTATCGGAGGTTGACTATTTTACATATATCTTGAAATTTTAATGACAAACAATGCAACATAATCTTCATATCCCTTAGTCCAAAACCTAGAAATACCATATTCCAAATAATATTTTAATCCAAAACGCATTTTTCTTTTTTTAAAACTACATTTATAAGTTTTTTATTGAAAGCCGTCCTTTTACCTTTAATTGTTCACATTTGTCTCTTTTTGGTCTTTAAAAGTTGTCTCGTTGGTCAACATACCACATTTTCTTATTTTTCTTGGAATCTTTCAATTTTGTTCTTCTATTTCGTAGTCATTACAGTGGGTTTTTTTCGTTAAATTGGTCTTTGCCCCATTTATATTTCATTTAAGGACGTTGTGGTGCGTTATTTGGGATTCTTGGTAAGTTTTATACCAGCTTTATTTTTCATTCAATGACGTTGTGATGCGTTGCCGTGTTGATATGTTGCTGTTTTCCTTTTTAGTATCTTCCTGAGACCGTTGCTGCAGTATTTTCATTAAATCCAAAATAAAATGTTGGACTGTCCATCACTAAAAAATTATGATAAACGAAATCAAATTCCTTCTTATTATTTCGGCAACGACATGTTTCTATAGAATAACACTCAACAGGTACGCTCCAAATACCAACATGATTACGGCAATCACGGATTTGCAAGCCCTAACTATTGAATGTCTATCAACGACAAAACATGATGGTTTATATATGTATGTATGCCCTTTGAAATTTTGATATTTTATTTTTAGACTGACATATTTAAATAGAATAGAGAATGGAGATGGGGAATGTGTCGAGGAGAGACAACAACCCGACCAAAGACCAACCTAAGGCCACCAATGGGTCTTCAACACAGCGAGAAAATCCTGCACCCGGAGGCGAGCTTCAGGTGGCCCCTTAACAATAATGTAAACTAATTCAGTGAAATAAACGCCTCACTAAACTCCGAAACATACAAATTAACCAAAATAACAACAACAAAAAAACACACAAGACAAATAAAGGCTAGAGATTCCTGACTTAAGACAGGCGCAAAAATGCGGCGGGTTAAACATGTTTGCTTAGATCTCAACCCTCCCTCCTTACCTCTAGCCAACACCTATATATAATCTCGCTTTGACAAAACGGAATTCAACGCGTAACAGATATAGATAAGTCATTCAGCTTCACGAGTTTGAGAAAAGCTTAAAGTGCAATCGTATGTATAATCCTAACTACTGAGAAAAATGAAAAAGAAACAAAAATATTAACTTATAGTCATGTTGAATGTCGACCAAAGAATTTGATCGTTTTCACACCAGCATTTCTTAATGTAAAGTATCTTAATGTAAAACATTCAAACAGGTTTAAATGTATGTCATCTATGATATTCCTTTGACCTTCTTTCGAAATTGTTAAGATTACAAGGGAGGAAAAGGACTTAAAGCGTTGGTTTAACACCGGTTTCTACAGAAGTAATCTGAACCATATATCTAACCTTTAAATTTTTGTTTCAGTATTGGCAGTAGTTAAGCTTACATCACGTGTACGGTAGCATTAAAATATTGACTAATGTAACAGATAAATAAATTTTGCACAATCATAATTGGAGTGCATATGGAATGAAGAATTTTCACTATTATATAAAATCCTTGATGGTGGACTGTTAATTTCAAAGACATGTCTCAACAAAATGTCCAAAACAGTAAAATGGGAGTGTTATGTAAGAAATTCATATAATTGCCATCAAAACTTGTTTGACCCTTTTGTAAATATCCGAGTTGCAGTTTGATCTAATGTCGATTTTTTTCTTCTTTTCCTGTCTAATGTTAATTACCATATTTTACTTTGAATAGCTCGGACACTAGAAAATTGAACATTCAAACTAATGAATGTACCGAATGAATCGGAAGTGCAGCAATATATATGATATCAGTTTAAAAAAAATGATAGTATAGATATAATGCAGTCGTATATCAGTTAAAATAAGAAAAACCTATAAATCGGTATCATTCCGTTATTTAAGTAGCTGGATTCGTCTATTCATTTATAGCTTGATATACCATATTCGTCAATACGATCTAAACTAGCAAATAGACATTTTATCTTATATTATAATAAGCACACTCAGCTTTTTTGTTATAATGGTAAACATGCGCACATTGGTATAAAAAATAGGTCAATTCGCGGCTGATTTTAAATGCACATATTAACGTGCCTATTACAAGTCAGGACCATTATCAGTGTCTGTCTTTGAGGATTTAAAGCTGGGTATGTCAAACAGATCTTTGTCTATTGTTCAAAACAGTATATTGCCCGTTAGATTTCCTCAATGGTTTTATTTCGTTTGAGGGATATGAGAAGTTGACATACACCCAAAATCTTCTAGATTTAATTTTAATCATAAGTCACGACTACATTGTCAAAGAAGGATAATTGAATTCGTATGTAATCATGATATGTTTATTTGAAGATCAAAAATAGAGAAAAATTTCATTTCCACGGCTAATAATACGCACTTCTAAGTCTAACGCAACAAATAGCAATGAACCATTTAATCTCGTTTAATAAGAAACACGAAAGCCAATTTTCTCTGGAAAGAAGCATATACATAAATTGATGTTCCATCTAGGCAAGGAAGTTATAGAGTATTAAATACATTCAGGTTATCGGAATTCCCATGGGAACTAACTGTGCACCACTTATTGCGCACCTGTTCCTGTATTGTTATGAGTTACAATGTATGACTAAAATTAGCAAAGACCCATCGAAACAACATCTGATTCAAAAATTTAATAACACTTTTAGATATTTAGATGATATATTGGCTCTCAATAATGACGACTTCAGTATGTACACTAAAGAGATTTATCCTGTCGAACTGACTTTAAATAAAGCTAATACTAACAATGAACACTGCCCTTTCCTGGATCTTGATATCTATATCTTTAACGGGAAGCTTAATACCAAAATTTATGATAAAAGAGATGATTTTTCATTTCCTATTGTTAATTATCCATTTTTAGATGGTGACGTTCCCTTGTCACCATCTTATGGTGTTTATATATCTCAACTTGTTCGATTCGCTCGTGTATGTAACAACGTATTTGATTTCAACGAAAGAAATCTCTGTATTACTGAAAAATTATTACACCAGGGTTTTCGATATCACAAAGTAGTCAAAACATTTACTAAATTTTATCATCGGTACAAGGACATCATTCGTAAATATAAATCAACATGCAGACATCTTATACGTTCAGGTATTTCACATCCAATATTTTATGGTAATATTCTTACAAAGCACAAAAACGTCGGCATTCACCTCAAAAGCTAACCAAACCTTTAAACAGACTTATTCGGTATTAATATTGATTCACTCATAGGGTCTTTGCATGGGACACATTTATTCTAAAACCAGTTCTTGGCATGATACGGGTTATGTTCTTCTCATATATTTTATGATGGTATGATGCTAAACCCCTAATGGGAGGGATTGTACCTGATTTTCATATGATGAAGACATAATCTTTCAATTAGTTTAATTGAGGTCTGGAGCTGGCATGTCAGTAACTGCTAGTAGTCCTTTGTTAATGTATGTATCATTGTCATTTTGCTTAGTTTCTTTGGTTACCTATTCTGACATCGGACTCGGACTTCTTTAAAACTGAGTTTTACTGTGCGTATTGCTATGTGTTTCTTGATTCTACATTGGCTAGAGGTATAGGGGGAGGGTTAAGATCTCACAAAACATGTTTAACCCCGCCGCATGTTTGCGCCTGTCCCAAGTCAGGAGCCTCTGGCCTTTGTTAGTCTTGTATGTTTTTTTAATTTTAATTCTTTTATATGTTTTGGAGTTTAGTGTGACGTCCATTTTCACTGAACCAGTACACAATTTTATTTAGGGGCCAGCTGAGGACCACCTCCGGGTGCGGGATTTTCTCGCTGCGTTGAAGACCCATTGGTGGCCTTCGGCTGTTATCTGCTCTTTGGTCGGGTTGTTGTCTCTTTGACATATTCCCCATTTCCATTCTCAATTTTATTCGTTGAACTATTGTTATTAAGAAACTCAAATAATTACAAAAGCTATACGTGCATTATATGTTCAAGGTGCAAGGTGCAATAGATATATTTTCTATTTTTCCCGTATATCTGAACCTTAAGCAGAAGACTAATGCCGCAAACGGGCACATATACTTTATGATTAAATAGCTAACTACTGACTTTTAGAGATTAGAAATACACTCTGATTAAAATTCAGGATTTTCTATACTCATTTGTTCACGATGAATATAACCTGTTTAGTCCTATAATCACTGTGTATCATCGCCACCGGAAATTGGGTACTAACGAAGCGGAGAGAAATGGAAAAAAAAGTAAACAAGGTAAGAATTCATTCAATTTAAAGCATTTCTACTGATTTGACGAGAGTACCGCTTAAGAAATGATTTTCTGATATATAATTCTTTAAATTATTAGGCCGATAAGTACAAAATTAAGACAATATTTTGTGTTATACTCCAAAGCTTGCCACTTAGTACCTGAAAATTTCGAGGTCGATTGTCCTCTGTCGCCCCATTGGCAAGATATTCAACTGTTTTTCATTATTTTTCCAGACACGTTTTTAGATTATGATAGTGTGACATCATATTGACTGAAATCTGTTGTCATAAAGATGTTTTTAAAGAATACGGACCAAAACATTGTTTGTTTATTGT